AACCTATTCCCATTTTCTGTAATCGAGTTTTGTGAGGTAGTTATGTTCAAACCTTAGACACAATATGTGTGACGAAATCAGGGACTCTTTTTTTTTTCCCGCGACACGCGCAACCTCCTTTAGGATTATGACTCCGTACTTTACAATGTGAGTGAATAAATATTCTGCTAAGGATTCCGTGGATTTGGTTTTTGCTAGATCGTAACGCCATGCGCTTTTCATTCTGTTGTAAGGGAATCCAGAAAACCAAGCGCAGTGTGATTGTTCTTTTTTATCTTCTTCTTGTAGCGAGTCTCAGATTTAGTTTAGTGTATCTGTTTATTCAGTTTGTATTTTCTGCAACAGCCCTTCATTTCAGGTAAGATGAATATATAAGTACATTAATCGCTCTGTGGTCTAAAGGCGTTTATATTCCCTCCTTGCATTTCTTTTGTGAGAACAACCCTGAACCTTGACCAGTTTTTTTTCGTCAATTGGCACATGGAGACCTCTTTTTCTATAACGATCATGGGATCCTATACGTCTGAAAATAATTGCAGTTATCAATGAAGGCGCGAAAGTACTGGACATATGTACGACATTAATGGGCTTGCTTGACTTAGCTACTGATGGCTCACCTCTTTTTGCGGAACCATTTTTTATCTTCGGATGAGCGTTGTATAACATTTCAACTTAGTGCATGTTAACCTTCTGACTGAGTTGCGTGAATTATGCTCTGGGTGGGGAATTTTCATTACTCCATAGACTATTACAAGATATTTTTACATACACTTTGTTTTGGTTACCTAAAGTTAATCTTTCCCTTAAAAACAAGCTTCCCTATTATACTATTTCGTTTTCTTGAAACAAACGTTTGCTGGAACCAAAGTTCTTATGCGATGAATGTTCCGTTAACCCTTATAATTTCTTGGGGGGAAACAAAGCGCAGTTTCCGCTGTTGAGGCGTGGTCGATCGAAAATAGGATGGAACTGAACGCTGACAAATGCAAGGAGATGCGCATTGACTTTAAAAGGAACACTCACAATTTTCCACCAATTGTGATAAATGGCAAGGAACTATCAGTATCAAACATTGTAAAAATCCTAGGAGTCACTATTAGCTCAGATTTAAAATGGAACGAACACATCTCAGAGTGCATAAAGAAAGCGAACAAGCGCCTTTATTTTATTTTTCTTCTAAAGCGCGCCAACGTTCCACTGAGCGACATTGTAAATTTTTACTGCACCGTGATAAGACCTGTTTTAGAGTACTGTGCGCCAGTTTTCCATCATGCGCTTCCACAGTATCTTAGTGACGAACGAGTCGAACGAGTGCAAAAGAGAGCGCTCTCCATCATTTGTCCTTATGCGTCGTATTCAGAATGTTTGGTCAGGTTCGATTTAGTAACCTCGCACGCTAGACGCGTGGCTCTGTGTGGCAAGCTTTTTGAGTCTATCACGTCATGCCCGGATCACAAACTTGTCCCTGTCTTACCTCCTAAGAGAGAACACAGACATAATCTAAGACAGTCCAGGGCTTATGCCATGCCCCGTACACATACAAATCGTTTTAAGAACACTTTTATTCCAAGTATGTGTACATAATTTTTTTGGACTAGTTTGTACCTAGTTATATATAGAGAGTTTTTCGCATTTTTATAGAAATGTTTTTTGTTATAATTTCAATTAGTATTTATATTTTTGGAATTTATTTAATCTTAGTTTTAAGTACTTGTAACGCAATTCAGTCTACGGACTGCCATGTTCGATATTTTAATAAACTATCTATCTATCTATCTATCTATCACTTTTCCTTAAATGAAAACGCATTTCCCTCTTATCAAACTCATAGGCATTGGAACTTAACCTGTTCAAAAAAATTGCATTGATGTGCATTGTAAAGAATTAGTAAAACTATCCTCCCCTTTATCTCCAATTCACTTTTAGAAGAAATCAAAAAGCTTCAAAAAATTTGTATATTTGAGGATGTCGATACGTTAACAAAAATTAATGTGAAGGTAACCGCAAAAGCCAAAGCATTATCTTGCTGGATATTTGAAAACGTACCCAACGAAAATTGCAGTCTTTTGACTGAGAAAAAGACCAAAAGACGAAGGTAAAATAAGCCCGAAAATCCTGCTGGAAAAGAGCGAGGAAAGGAAAAATAAAAAGAGCGAGGAGAAAGAAAGGACGAGAAGAAAAAAAAGCAATGGCTGCACTCCTTTGGAGATAGTTTTTGAATGAAAAAGGCTGTTTGAGGGGAGAGGTCTATTTTGGCTGTAAGGTTATTAAAAAGTCCAGCTCTAATATATATAAATTTTTCTTACCCTTGCAGCTAACAGAAATCTGATAAAAAAAGGATATATTTTAAAAGCTAATGATTAAGTAAACGGCTTTCATTTTTCAGGTTTAAAGCCTTACGACTAAATTTGTTGTAGTTTTACAGCCAACAGTTCACTCTATTACTCTGTAACCCTCCTGTTATTTTGGGGTTCCTTGAGTGGAGCATGGGCTTCCTGTGCAAAAGCCAACCGTGTTTAATATTTATTTTGTTTGAAAAAAAGAAACTCTTCGTTTTTAATATTTTTATCACCGAAAACTAGGTAGCAGTTATTTTTTCTTCCCTCACTTTTCCATAAAAGTAACAAACAAATTGTGTGCAATTTTTGTTAAAAAGTGTAATTTCAACTAACGTGGGTTTCCTGTGTTAAAAGCTAAAAATATTTAACGCTTAATTTTTGACATTTTGCTCCGAGCGGATATTGGCGGATTTATAGTATGTTGCTAGATAGGTCACCCTTACTTAAATGGCGTTGAAAATAATTCTGTTGCAATTAGTTTGATGTAGAGCCTCAAAAATGCCTAGATTGACTGGACTATAAAATCTTATTCGGAGTTCCAAAGAAACTAGAAACCGCGAATCTGGTTTGACGAACTCAACCTCAGAATTGTTTTAATTCAACCCTCAGTAATTGTCTCAAGTAAAGAATGATCATCGCAGTTGTGAACACAATTTATGTAATTTTGTAAGAAGCCTGAAAAAAATTCAGAACTTCAACGGGGTTTGAATTAGGACCTCGCGATACCGGTGCGATGCTCTGGGAGCTTGTCAATTATGTGTTCATATGTTCTTGTGAAAGAGACGAATGTGATAGATGTATACGAAATAAATCATATAAAAAACGGCGGAAATGAAATCAAGTGAAGAATGATCATCTCATTGGCTATCAAATAAGAAATGATCCAGGAGCGCACTTGCTGGAAGACCGATTAGTTAGCGCTAACCCGGGCATAATTTTTAATTTGAGTTGCTTTTCTTTTGTTCAAAAGTATTTTCTCGGATAGTATTAGCTATTCTTGATAGAAAATCCGTTTACGTTTGGTTGAAATTGTTGGAAGGGACGACATTTTAGAATCTTAACAGCAGGAAGCAAACCAGTTGGCTGTTTATAAGACAGGCCGATGAACTTGGGGCATGTGTCTTGAGAATCTCAGTAACTTTTTGGGCCCAGGAATATAAATATTTAAATCTAATCTAAACAACCAAAGCGTGGGTCCTATTGGCTAAAAAAATTAGTTCATCTTTTTTCGTTGACTGACAGCTGTTAATCACGGCTGAGGTCACTCGCGCGTCACTCGCGCGCGCGCGAGCGGAAGCACATTTCTAGGTCACGTGACCATAAGTCTCCCCGGCCGCTCATCCGTTCGTCCGTCCGCCCGCACCACAGGGAAACTAATTCAAGGTCAAATGTCACACTTTTTATAGGAAGTTTGGGAGCCTGTAACCATGTTGTGGCCAATTGACAACTGTCAAAACAGGGTTTCCGCTGATCAGTATCACATCACCATATCTTGAGCTCTAGCGTCGACCCGTTGAGGTTACGTTTTTTGAGGTTCTCCGCTGACAAGTTACTTGATTTAAATTCATATTTGCAGGCTCAACTACAAGTGGACTTCTTTACAATGGTTACAAGTTTATTGTTTAAAGTAAACTATATTAATTTGTTAACGCAAGCTTCATCTTTAGCCTTGGCTAAATCTATATATTATTAATCACATATCTGTTGAAACCCCCATCTTGATGTGTCCTTAATGTGAAAGGAAATTCAAACTCCTTCAACAATGTATCAATGTGGTGTGGTAGACTAATTTGATAACAATAATAGCCTCTAATGTAAACAAAAAATTAATATTTTAAGAACAGCTTAATGTAAAACTGGAATATTAAGGTGGTTGAAATAAAACTTTTTGACTGGTTTGGGCAGATGCTGTCAAATTTCGCAGGTTCACAGATTCAATTCGTGATACCTTAGATGAATAAAGTTGTTTTGGTGTGGAACGAACTTCAGCACACAAAGCTAGGAGCTCGATCGTTTCTCGAAGCTCTAATGAATAACGCACCCGTAAAGTTGTTTTGTGCTGTTTTTAAAATATTAATTTTTTGTTTACATTAGAGGCTATTATTGTTATCAAATTAGTCTACCATACCTCAATCAATTTTCGTATGTTTTCCTTTGCATGGCAATTGACTGTCGTTAACAGAACCGAAACGAAGCAGCGAAGTATATGTCCAGAACAGGGCCCCGAAGGTGAGGTTATTGTCCTGTCCCCTGACTATTAACTATGGTATCTAAGGTTTCATTGTGGAAGTAATAATATGGATCACGTTTTCACGGAGCACCTCTTTCCCAGGCTGGAAACATTGGACTCTCCCATCCTGGAGTGTTTATTATATCGAATCAAAATAAAGCATTGTGCTTGGAATAAAATTGAATTTTGTGCCACACAATAAGGCGATAGCATTTCTTTTTAATAACTGTGAAAAGTTATTATTGAGAACTAGTCACTCTCACGCACAATTAAGAAAGCGTTTAATCAAGTCTACGAAGGATAACCGATCTAATCGACAGGTCTGTCATATTTATTCGATTGATGCTAGCTCCTTATTTCTCTGTTAACAGAGTCGAAGTGTACTTGTCAGTTTTTGCTTTATTTTCTTATTGTAATCTCGTGCTACGTAGGCAAAAAGAAACTGCGAAAACTTCTCCGCTTCAATGCAGCTGTTGATGGTTTGTTTGTTGGTCGGGCTGACAATGTCTGCCTTGGTTTATACGAGTGCGCTGCAGAAATGCATGCAGTCGAGTAAGTATAGTTCGCATTACGGGATTGCTCTTCTTGGATATTCTTACAAGTCCTTTATTGCCAATCTCCTTGTAACATGTTACCGCGCCTGTCAACAAGAGCCGTCTTGTCAAAGTTTGAACTACAACTTGGCAAACAGAATTTGTGAGTTAAACACTTTCGCTAAACGCCCCGAAGATTTGAATGACAAGCTGCAAAACTTCGTTTACGCTGTAAACCCTAACCGCAAAGTTGAAGGTAGGTAGAGGCGCACACCAGCCAAAGGCCCAAACGAGTGGAGCTTTCTAATGGATGGCTCTTCGCTCCATTTTGGGCTCTTATCATTTTGTCTTGTTTTGTCTGTCATCTCCTTTCATTTATACTTAAATATATGTCAGATTGGAACCATTTTTGGAACTCACATTGTGCCTCTTAAGGTCACGTGACGAGCCACGCCCATAATTATGCAAAATTTGGTATTTTCAGATTACGCCATGAAAATGACTGTTGAAGCTCCCGTTTATTTTTCCATAGTTTTAAGTTTAAAGTGAAATGAGTCAAATTAAACAGGGAATTGCAGAATATTTTATTCCTGTGCAATTATCAAATGTTTTCTCCTTGACCCAGTCCCACTGGAAACATTATATGTCACCCAATTCAAATAATCTTGAAAAACCTCGATTAATTCCATAAACCTTGTGTTAATAGTCATTGAACGAAAACAAAATAATTCACAACCAGTGTTTGTAAACTGTCTTAAAATTGGACTCAACTAAATGGCAAAAAAATGGGCGTGACAAGTCACGGGACTAAGATACCGTATTTATTCGATTAACCGCCCTGGGCGCTTATTAAATTTTTGGTGGAACTCTCACCCGCGAATAAGCTCCACCCGCGAATAAGCTCCGACCCGCGAATAATTTAAAAGTGGTAAAAGTCGTTGTAAAGTATGTTTATTTTGCAACAAAACAATAAATGCTAATAACAAAACGCGCAGAAGTAACAAAGCAAGGTTTTTGTAAAATACTCTGAAAAAAACTCCGTCTTCGGGGAAGTCTCTTATCAGAATTTATTCCCTCAAGTGGGTGGGGTGGGGTGGGGTGGGGTTTCAAGTCGAAGAGTTAAATCTCCTTTAAACTAGACAGCCCCCTTAGAAATTTCAAGAGACCCATTCCTTAATTCACCCGAGTATATCCAGCTTTTTTTTTAAATATGAAGCATGCCTAACTACTGCCGACTCCCCTGACTGATGCCGGTCCATCGCAGGATTACCCGCAATAATAATGTCGCCCTTACCCATTTATACTCCTGGGTGAAGAGAGAGAAAAAGGAGTAAAGGTTCCTTGTCTAAGAAAACAACGCGACTGACGATGCTTAAACCCCGAACTTCCAGATCCGGAGTTCGATGTGTGAAATGCAGTTACGTACTACATAATGTTAAAAGAAGTCTCGATGCTTGGAGAAAAAGGGGAATACCATAACTCGAGTCGAGTCATAACCTGAATCTGAGCTTTCTGGCGTTTGAATTCTTCTTCTTCTTTAATAGAATTTGAATTATTGCTTTTTTATTATTGAATCTTTTTCAAAAAGGTCTGAAAGGTGATTAATTTTCTTGACTTCATGTTGGACCAGGCTGAGGCTATGTGATAAAAATACATGTATTCAGTACGTTTAGATAGAAGTACATGCAAAAGCCAGGGCGACATTGACAAACAGCCCTTATTTTTGCATAGGTTAAGAAAGTGCGCACGTATATATAAATACGTGACTTAGAAATTGCACGCAGATTTCACAGACCCAAATGACAGGTTTCCCTACCCTTTCATATACTTCAACGAGTAAAATCCCTACCCTTTCATATACCTGAAGCCTGAAAAAAGGTACCTCTTTCGGGTGGAGCCTCCCTATAGGGAGTATGTCCCCTCCCGCCCTCCCCGGAAGTCGCCGACGAGAGGTTTGACTGAACTTTGCTCCCTATTTTGTCTAAGACATCTAAAGTTTGTTTCCCAGATAATATTTTTTGTTCAAATTATAGAAAAATGGATAAAACTGACAGACCAGACGCCCAAAGTCTGTTTTGGTGCGAAACATGACCAGTTTGGCAGGTTTTGGATCCCTTTTACTGGCTTTTTGGTCAGAGTCAAACTGGTTCATTTGTATGGTGCGATATGGTGTGGGCCGAAGAGGACACTATGGTTTTATTGGGGATGCGACTGGGGTAAGATCAACACAGTGATAACGAATTCGTCTCGTTTCATCTTGCTGCCTCGTAGTGAAACAGGATCCAAAGTCCTCGGCTTCCAAATTCCAGAATACTCTCCAAGATCCCCCGAGTTGGTCTTTCCTGATATTCAGCCTCGTTTGCCAGTAGTTTCAGGCCAAGAGATGCGTATTTGGAATAACGAGGATCTGCTTAATGACCACTGGGCGAGAGACAACTCTGGATCTGTTTGTGTCGACGTTTATGTTATGATTAATCTATGGTAGTCAGAGTTCCACTAGGTTCTGTGCTGGGCCCATTGTTATTTCTGATCTTCGTTAACGATATCCCCAATTCTTCATCAAAATTTTCGTTCTTTCTCTTCAGTCTCTTCGCTGATGACACTATTAATCTTGTCGCATGCTAACAAAAAACGTAAAATCACGATTGAAAATATAGTGAATATGCAGCGAATTGTGCAAAGTCTCAGACTGGCTCAATGCGAATGAAGTTGACTCTCAATGCCATAAACTGCAAGCTATGTTATATTTCGTTCGTACCAGCGTAAGATAGAATATCGAGTCAATATTCAAATGACTGACAACAGTAGTCATCTCCCTACTCTCTTTGTATGTGAGAATTGTGTTAAGTCAAGGGTGTATATAAACAGAGAGGAAAACTCAAGATCGAGGATCAAGATATGTGAATTTCACTAATGTTAATTTCTTCAAACGGAGGTCATATCCCTAAGACGTCCGCACATTTTAATCAAATCCTCAAATCAAGCCCTCAAAGCAAAAAATTGAAAATTTTTGTAATAGCGACTGTTGAATTCTTTCTTAACAAGGCAAGGTACAAGTTTGCGGACCTCTCCGGAACCCAACTTCCAATAAATTCAAGCGTTTAATTGGTCTAAAAATAAGAGATTAAATTAACTGCAAAAACCGTGGACGAAGATCCTGCTAGTTGTAGACGTAGTAGTCTTTGGACGTCGCGTTCTTGGTCTAAAAATAACTTTGTTACATCCACATATCCTAAGGGCTGGACTGGGCGTTTCCCTCTCGGTCCATCATTCCCCCTTGTTTGGGAGTTTTATTCGATAGTCCTGACAGTGATCTGAATTAGAAATTTCATATTGAGTTGTTGCGCTAAAAATTAGTACAATCATATGATGAGAGTCGTTGCTCGTCTCAGGAATTGTTTACATGGAGGCAGGGGAACCCAAGTGGGTGAGGAACCCGCTAGGTAACCCGCCTGCCCGTATAATCTCTCATTTTCATATGAACGTGTTTCCATGACAGGTGGCCATGAAGCGATCCCTCCGAGGGTGGTTGCCCGGTCTGCTAAACTGGGTAACCCTCTCGGCTGGGTCAAATTTTGCCAAGTAAACGTTTCAGGGTGGGGTAATGAGAAAGTGCACCCATGATTGTGAGTAATTCTACACTGACTGCTGAGGTCCATTAATCTCCAAGCGCCTTGATTAGCTTTCTCTATCTGCGGGCAGAACTGCATGTAAATATGTGTGTGAATAAATAACTAAATAAGTAAAATATGAGAACAAAATTCTTGACGACCTTAATTGAGTTCAAACTTGGGGCAACTTTCAACATGTTTCAGCAAACACTCTTAATGCTATTAGAAGTCGTCTAAAAACGGTTATTAGTATGAAGAAGATGGAAATGGATTCCATGGCAACCTGGCAAAAGCAAACCCTAGCTTATAGGTTACTCCGTTTCAAAACAACATGGTAATTTTCTTCATCCATTTGCTTCCTGAACTTTCGTCATGTTTGTCTTTACTTAAGGATTTCTCTGTCTCGCACTTTTTTTATAGTGAAAGATCATCCAGAGCCTCTCACGCAGATGTTCCTTAGGCTTCATCACACGGCTTCCCCATGCGTGTTTCGATCGCGCGCCCTGTTCAATATCGCACGCACTCATAACTCGCAGTGAGGCACAAATGAAAAGCGAAAATTCGCGTTAACGTGAAAGTCAAGTCAACACTCGCGTAGCCTGAGATCATACCCTCTTCCTATTATCCCTCTATGTCTCTCACGGGAAGAGGGCGTTATTTCTTTTTTCCTCTCGCCTCGTCCGCCCTTGAGAAAAAAAAAAATAATAAAAACGCCTGATCGCAGGTTAAACACTCGCGTGATACGCCCGCCCTGCCCAGCAGTTTGTCAGCGGTACACCGCATGAAAGTAGACATTCAGCTCCTGTTATTAAACACTCCCCGAGCATATCGGTCTGTCCTTTGAAATTTCGGCGGGTTTGCTGAAATCTGGAGATTTTGGACTATTAGAGTATTTCATTTTGACAAAACTGATGACCGGTGATGTTCTTAAGACCTTGCTTCAAAGGCAAGACCGAACCGACACAACAGACGCTTTGATGAGCGAACGGATCTTATAAATTGCTGTGCGATTGTCTCTGTGCGGCTTTGCGTCGGCGCGAGTGAGGTCGTTTTTCAAAACGTGCTTTCGTCGATCTGGTGTCTGGTTTGCGCTCTGATTTTGGCTTCATTCATCGCCGACGTTTGAAGCAAACGTGTTAACACAATTCTCATCGCAAGCAGTTATTGATCAGGAATTTGCGTGGGCGAAACGAAGCTTACTTGCTACCAGGTAAGGTTCTGTTTATAAACTTTGTGCATGTTCGATTTGTTCTGCGGGAAAATATTGTTTAGCGATCTGAGCTTGTGATCTGATTCCCTAGTTGGATTCTCTGTGGGCCGTTTTTATTTTTCTGATTGTGATCTTTCGGTCAATGCTCTGACAACANTGAGGTCGTTTTTCAAAACGTGCTTTCGTCGATCTGGTGTCTGGTTTGCGCTCTGATTTTGGCTTCATTCATCGCCGACGTTTGAAGCAAACGTGTTAACACAATTCTCATCGCAAGCAGTTATTGATCAGGAATTTGCGTGGGCGAAACGAAGCTTACTTGCTACCAGGTAAGGTTCTGTTTATAAACTTTGTGCATGTTCGATTTGTTCTGCGGGAAAATATTGTTTAGCGATCTGAGCTTGTGATCTGATTCCCTAGTTGGATTCTCTGTGGGCCGTTTTTATTTTTCTGATTGTGATCTTTCGGTCAATGCTCTGACAACAGAATTTTTTAGAGAGGTAGCGGGCTGATGTTGACATTTTGCCCAGAGAGGAAGACAAAAAATTTCGGTAAAACTCTACAAGCTTTTAATCACATAGACCAAGGTTTACGTTTCGTTTAAGTTACGTTTCGAGGTAAGGACATCTGTTCCTCGGACTTTTCAGAGAAGAAGAATTGAATTGAAAGTCGTTCGGGAAATTGCATATCATTGTTTGGCGTGACGATAAAAATTTTGAAAGTCAATATCAATTCATTGCGTGAAATTTTACATCATCTAAGCTGGAAGAAAAAACATTTTTATATGCATTAAACTTGTTCTATGTAAACAGATTTTCCAGGATTGTCTTTGGAGCTCTTGATGCAAGACTTACATTAAAACATTTGTCTATAATTTTCTGTGTATTTAGTTACGTCTTTATGGCTTCTTGTACATGTATGTATCATGTAAGTTAAGTTTTGCGCATATTAAAACTTCCTTAGCTGTCTTTCTTTGGAGTTTCACATTGAAATAAGAAATTGTTGATTGTGTCGGAGTTAACCTACGTGACATTTGAGTGAACTTTCACATAGGCGGGGCAAAAAATTCGTCAAAAATTAAATTCCTTTATATTCTTGTCAGCTTGGAAAATTGTGCCGAAGATCGAGTGGGCATGGTATGTCGTTCTGTTACAAAACATTCATTTTCCGATCCATAGATGTTAGTACATGTACTTTAAGACATGAGCAACAGTTCAAAAGGATTCCTCGAGTGGTAGTATCGAAGTTTGGATTTAACTCTGGTAAACAGATGACGTTTTGCATGCATGGAAGCGTTAATTAGCTCTACTTAATTTGTTCAGTAGTGCCTGCTGTTTAATCAAACAAAATCTATGTACATCAAAAACGTATTTTAAAATTTAATAATGTTTTGGTGATCGCTTGAACTCCTACCTCCTAACTTTGCTGCTTTGGAAGGCGTTATTTTCTTCTACTTCTCGTGTTGATTTCATTATGTCGCAATACATTTCTTTTCTTTCTGTAAAGGAACGTTCGAACGATCGTGTTCGTTCACTCTTTTTTGAATTAATTCCAGTTTTTGCGAACGGCAAATGATGTCTCGCCTAACACTATCTTAAAATACTGAAATATTCTACTTTTAACGCTTGACTGGCATTGGTTCATCTATAATATTGGCGCATGGCTTTATCTAATAGCTGATTGTTTGTGTACAACTTTGGACAAAGACAGATTCCTCGAGTGGTAGTATCGAAGTTTGGATTTAACTCTGGTAAACAGATGACGTTTTGCATGCATGGAAGCGTTAATTAGCTCTACTTAATTTGTTCAGTAGTGCCTGCTGTTTAATCAAACAAAATTTATGTATATCAAAAACGTATTTTAAAATTTAATAATGTTTTGGTGATCGCTTGAACTTCAACCTCCTAGCTTTGCTGCTTTGGAAGGCGTTATTTTCTTCTACTTCTCGTGTTAATTTCATTATGTTGAAATACATTTCTTTTCTTTCTGTAAACGAACGTTCGAACGATCGTGTGTTCGTTCTCTCTTCTTTGAATTAATTCCAATTTTTGCGAATGGCAAATGGTATCTCGCCTAAAACTATCTTAAAATACTGAAATATTCTACTTTTAACGCTTGACTGGCATTGGTTCATCTATAATATTGGCGCATGGCTTTATCTAATAGCTGATTGTTTGTGTACAACTTTGGACAAAGACGTACGCAAATTACGCGTTCCTTCTTAACATCCTGTTTATGTATAATTTTTGGTTTATTTTAATTGACTCTAGTGTTCGCCCTGGTCATGGATATTGTATTATGTTATTGTAAACTTTTTCCCCTAGATACTATTTTTACTGTGGGAGATTGCAATTTTAATTGTTTCATAATTTGAGCTAAAAAGATAATTGTTAACGACCCTAGGCTATGTTATTTCTATTTTCTTGTAAAATATGTACTACTGTATGTAACTCTTAAAGTCACCATTATGGTGTTTTGTATACCTTTCATGCAAAATGCATTATTCTGGTGCTATTCAAACTCCAAAATTATAACTGAAGCTTTCCTCTCCAATTCCTGTTGACTTTTGAATTGACCTGAATTGCTATTCATTTTTATAAATGTTTAAAGACCTGTTTCAACATTGAGAGCTACTGCCATTCAAAGCTGGCACAACTTAAGCTGAAC